TAAAGCGAGGTCAATCGGGCATCATCTTTCTGGTTTCAAAATAGCCTTACAGGCGTACCGTTAGGCCCTATGGTATATTTAAACAAAATCATCAAGGCATGACTACAGTGGGTGCATGCATCTAGCGAGGGATATGTGACGGAGGGAGACGATAAAAATGAACTCTATAGACAAGACGAACATTTCATGTTTTGTGTTCTCAAGCGGGACCAGAGTCGCCAAACCATAATTAATTCTCCTACGCTTGCCTGGTCTTCTTTTATCCGCGCGTGTGCTCGCTCGAACAACTCCCTCTGCGGACTCCTACTACACTGTCTTGAGGAGTGGAGAACACAAACAGCGTGCTAGCCTCTTCAGCAATCCTCTTCAAGGCATGAACGAATCCTGTATGTCGCTGCTTCTCTGAAAATCTCGGGAGAATTGCTGGCACGCCTGAGCGTACGTACCCATCGAGCTAAGACGTGTGATAAACTTAGCTCCACCACATCACGTTTGGTGATAAGTTAGGAAGTTTAGAGGGTGGGATGAACTGGCGGCGACAAAATTTCGCTAGACTAAAACAGGCAAACGTATAATGCAAGTCAACACTAGGCCCATAATCTGCCGGAATCGAACGTACAAAACGCAAGCGTGCAAGATATAATAGCCTATAATTTAATGTTCCGTCAATAACAGCGCCACCAGCAGCCAGATGGTGCCCAACCTCTTTCCTTGTAGACTGTTTCCCGCCCCCCCCCCTAAAAATATGGGGACCGGTAGCTAGCTCCCATTTAAAGCCATTGATTGGATCATCTCTGCGTGCGCGCATCATGATTGTTTATTTTCAAATCGCTGTTTAGATGCATGGACAGTGATTCAACACACGATTATAAAAAAAACCCAACTCACTCATGTCTTACTACAAAAATTACGCAAAGTCATTAGTGTCTCCATAGGTAACTTTCAAGCATTTCAACTGCATAGATTTTAAATACTAAACAGAAATGTCTCTCTCTTTATTGATATTTGCCAGAGATACTTTCTAATTCAGCAATAATTGAAGCTCATCACCTCCGAAATTGTACATTCGTGGTGCGGCCTATTGCCATTTTGCAATAGGCTGGTTGCGGGCAAACATTTCCGTTGTGATTTTCAATTCAGGAGGCGGGATTCAGACCTGTACACGGTCATTCATATCATTTGCATACATCAGGAGGGAGATTCATCGCTAGTTACCTGTCCCCATTTTGAAGTCTGAAGGACAATGGGTCAGGGAACCAGACTACTTTCCTTGCCCCCTTTCTGTTAACATGTGTGACTTTGTGACGGCACGTTTTTTCTACCCGTCCGAGGACGCAGAAAAAAATTGAACAGTATAGGCCTAATACATAGGTTCCTTTGCTTCTACAAAATGTTGCGCAGATGCGTAAACTGGCGAATTATCGTGTGATAATCCTGTGTTCAGGCTTGGGCTTCATACCAAAGCCCAAAATAAACGGTGACAAAAAAGGTTCGTATTTAACTACAAGGAATTAAAAAAAAAATTAAGCTTCATAAAACCAATGCTTTAAATAAGTTTCAAATTGATATCTCGTGGTTTTTTTTTTTTTTACGCGTATGGCGCCTCGTAGGCCCTATATACCTGTTTGAAGATCACAGGAGCACTTTCTTAAATACTGGAAACGCTAAAGGTTGTCGCATTAAAATGGCAATGTACTCAAAGTCCCCGTAATCCTTTTTTTTAACACAAAGGTTTTTCTATCTTTCCATTTCACTCAAGAGATGGTATTAAGACAAACTCCCACTCTACTTGTTTACTCATCCTTTCGTGCTGCGTTTCAAACGTAACATGCTAGCGGGAATAAAGTGAGTCCAGTGCCCCCTGCATCCACAGTGCAAGCCGATTACCTAGCGGGGCCCCCGGTGCGTCCAACGGTGCAGATTGTCCGCGCTCTGCCAGGGCTTGTCTAAACATCGCGGTGTTTTTCCAGAAAGGGTGAACTGATTGTGTTTTTTGTGTACAGAAGTGGATTTTCCAATGTTTCGGCTAATATAATTTGGAAGGTACAACACAAGAGAAGACGATTCAGGCATGCTAAGGGATTATCAGGTGGCTGAAGTAGTGCAGTCAAAATTACAATGTGCTTATGGGGTAGTCTGAAGGATGGGAATATATGCATTGAAATGATGGCAAGCTAGCATAGATTTATCAGACAGAATTCACCTTCTCATCATTAATGATTGAGAAAGCTAACTTGGCTGCCTACAATTTTGAAGTAATATTTTTTTTGCCTCGCAAATTAAAAAGATCTGTAATTTTCACATGTTATTTATTCATTTCTAATTCTAAAATCACCTACACAATAAATCATGTTCTTTTGGGTTACTTTTTTATTAATACTTCTATCAGTTATTTACTTTTCTTCTTCAAAAGCTCGATGTATTTAGGAATGTGTATTACGCTCATCCTATTATAACTCACTTTGATCGACAATTAGGTTGATGTGCCGTGCAAGTACACGCACTTCATGAGAAGGGCTAAGATAATACCCTTCGGGTATGAAAACAAAGTTGGCTCCCTGGTTTCTTTTCGATACATTTCCCATCTTGTTTCCTTATCAAGCCAGAGCGAAGTAGATGATACAATGACTTATTATGATAGAAGGTGGCTTGAAAGCCGTCCTTTCTGTCTACCATGTGGATAAGAAAGAGTGCCATCTTACAAAATATATACATGTATGATTATAATATCTCTATAGTTTATAGAATGAAAAGTTAAAGTATCAGAAATCATAGCCCATTATTTTCCCAAGATTCTTCATGCTGTTTTATTCACTATTTTAACACCAAGTACAATGAAAATAACTACTGCTGCTTCTACTTCTCGAGAACTGACTTAACAAGCATGCTGTCTCTATATACGGAAACATGCCAATCGTTATAGCGTGCGACTATACAGAGTAAGTTTTAAAAAAAATTAAAAAAAACCCAAATGGCAGGACAAATTTTGTAATGAAGTTCTGCATGTAGCACTTTCAAAATCTAGGATATGAAAGCCCAATTAATGAGCATTCTTTTAGTACAAGAAAAATTGAAATCACTTATGTACTTTTCAAGTTACGGAATTTTATAAACAAACACCCTTTAAAAGTTCTGTCCACGGATCACACAAACAAATTAAGTGTTCTTTCAGCAAAACGAAAACAATTCGCACACGGATGTATGTGAATTGTTTTTGTTTTGCTGAAAGAACACTTACCGTTTTACCGTATGGTCCTGCCATTTGGGTTTCCTTATTTTTTTACTCACCTTGTATATACGCATGTATTTCATGTATAGACGGTAATCTTGACCAGAGATATTTTAAACGATTTTCAGCTGCATCCAGTGGACCCGAAATGCAAAGTTTAAATGCACAACTGTTTTTCTAGTCAATTTGGCTAGTTGTCAACATGCTTACTGCCAACATTGTCAATATTTCTCACTGTTGTTGAGTGATGCTTGTGCATCATTGTCAAAGCATTCTGAAACCCCTAGTGACGGTAGACTTAATTTTCAAAGGCCGAAATTCTGCCAACCAGTAAGTCCAATTTCGCAACTTGCTCATTCAATCACACAGAATATGTTCATTCAAACTCGCATAAAAACGGGAAAGCGTTATCATACACTGTTCAATTTAGCGAAAATTCGAAAATATTTCAGGTTATCTTCGTTCACCTGTAAATAGTAGGCAGCATGATACGTAACTGCCGCGAGCTTTGGATTTCAGTTCGTTAAGGAATTCAACGTGGTGCATACGTTTACAAAAGTAAGTAACACACGCTATTGAACCTGGGCAGTTGCATTATTGTGTTATACAGGGTGTCCCAAAAAGTACCACCAAAAAGGATAATATGAACAAGCTATGAACTTATTATGGTTTGATCATAGACTATAGGGACAGTAAGGTTTCCATTGACATCTTGGTTGCATTCCTCTGGTTATGCATCACTGGATATTCCATCGTTTTAAATATGGTATGTGAAAACCCTCTACTGAGAAAGAATGAACAGCTATTTCAAAGAGAATGTGAATGCCTGCATTTATTAAGCAAAAAAAAAAAAAATGCATAATATCACTTAAAATCTGTAATAAAAGTGATAAAAGGAAATATTTGTATTCTTTTCAATAAAATACTGCGTGAATTATGGACTTTTCTGCGCAGACCATAGTGTAATATCGCCATTACGATTGACATTTAACGAAATAAAAAATGCCAAATTCAGTTAACTCTTGATTCCGTTACAATTTCGTTGGAAACGAATACTAACTTCTTATTAATTCACCTAATCGTGCGAAATCGAAAACCAACAAACAAAATAAATTTTGGCCACACGCGCATTTGAACACATTGAAACGAAATCACTGAAACCTCACGAAATGGAATGAACATTCATTCTGATGTGAATGAACAATTTGCAAAATTGGGCAGGAAAACCTATAGGCCTTTAACCTTAAAAACAATATATATTTAAAAAAGAAAGAAAAAAGGCACAGGTATATTTTAGCATATTTGACCAGAATCAAAGGGGAAAACATGTGTATTGCTATCATAGCATTCACAATCACAATGGGTCGATCTTGCAGCTCTCATTTTCCCCGCGAAAATATTTTGGCGCGTCTACGTGTCGATTTCGCAGCTACCACCCTGCGGCAATAGCACGTGTACAGGTGAGGGCTAGCTTGCAATGCATAATGTATTAGGCTTACTTCTTGCTTTGGCATTTCGACGGCTTTAACGTAATACATAGCATTGGCAATAAGGACATCGACTATTTTACGTCGAATTACTAATATAATCACTTAAAATCAGACTTTTCCTGAAAACATGGTACCATCCCCAATCCAAATGTAACAATAAAACTAACCTTACTTATACAACCATTTGACGCCATGAAGGTCCCTTAATGAATTCGCCCAACTATTGACCACATCGATTCTTTTTCCCTCACTCCCATAATCTCTTTATATTGTTTCTACAGGAATGGCATTTTGGATGTGTTCGTCTATGATTCACCTGTGATTGAATATAGGATGGCCAATGACCCACAATGCAACCTGGTTAGCGTGGGGAAACCGTTTGGCGAAGAAGGCTATGGAATTGGAGTGCGTAAAGGTAAAACATCGCATTAGTTGAAACCTGGTTTCATGTTTCAGTTCGGTTCGGTTCATTTTGGGTTCGGTTCGTTTTGATTCTGTTCGTATATAGTTTGGTTTGATTTGGTTTGGTTTGGTTTGGTTCGGTTCATTTTTGTTTGGCCAGATCCCGAAATATTTAGTCAATCTAATCGTAGCTTAAATATTAAATATTGGGTTCAAGGCGAGGTAAACGCAGACCTGGGGGGGGGGGGGGGGTTGAAGGGCAGAAGGTGTGACAACTCCGAAAAAAGAATGTCAGTTACCAAACCCACAGTGAAATAATTTTTCATTGAGAATTCCCCTTTATTGTGTACTTTTTAACCATGCCACTTTTAGTATGCCACCATTAATAGCGCCACCTAGTGTCAGATGTTGTCCCGTAATGTCGCAATGTATAGCATCTTATAGCCCTTTCTATTGTTTGTAAACATTGAGCGCCATTTTGTATGGGTTGCCGCACGCGCAAATTGAAGCCGTGGTTGGCAACTTATTTTTCCAAAAAAGGTCCTCATAACACCTCATTACAAAAGAAGAAGGCATGTTAGAAATTACTTTGTAGCGTTTGTTGATAATTTGTATTTTCAACAATCAAATACTGTTGTTGTAATCATTTACAACTATTCTTCACTTTTTGAGTGTTGGACCTTCCATAGTTTGGCAACCCGTGGTTGGCAAAATGTGCCAACCACGCGTGGCGAGGTCTATATGTGTAATAAAACTAATGACGTCCAGCGTCAACCCTCGCTTTTTTAATTTGCAATGGCCGGTTTGCTGCAATTTAATAAAAAAAATGTCATTTACCTTGATCACGTTTTCGTCTTGCATTCATTTGCTTTAATACAAAGAATTTGATGAGTAGGCAAGCCGACAGAGTATTCTATTTTCAGAAGGTTCACAGTCACGTCAGTATTCAATGTTATGTTATGAATATTACGATTTCATTCTTTCTTTCTTTTTTGTATGCAAGGAAAAACAATTGTCATGTTGACATATCTACAGATATAAAACAAGACTGGACAGTTTGTTAGACTGACTTGAAAGCATGTTCTCTTTTTTTTTGTCTGGATAACGAGAAAAACCCTATCTTTCTACACACCCTATAAATTTTGTTATGTTCTTGTTTTGTGTTGAATGTGGTGATTCGGAACATGTCTTTTTAACAGCCTTTATGGGGATCAGTTGTGCAGGTTTTGGGTCACGGGGTGTTTTTTTTTATAATAAAAAAAACAAAAGTGGCCCTAATAATTTTCGTTAGTAAAAATGTTTTAAAGCGGGATGGTGTGTATCACTATTAGTGACGGTTGTGAGGTGCTCTCGCGTTCATTAAAAAGTGGCAAAATGTCTCGGGGGAAAGTCCCCCCCCCCTCTCGATTGACACGCCATTGTTAGGAACGCTTGACCCCTCGGGATTGTCTTTAGTGCATTGCGTTCCCCGGTTGTGAACATTAAAGTAACATTACACAACAGTCGACAATAATTAATGTCCCACCTCCGGTATTAATCGTCTCTCTGTGGACTTCAATTATAGTGCATCATTTGAGATTCAAAGTATATGAAGCTGATTTTCATAGAATCGCTTCTGAATTATACATAGTTAAATTTGCCAGTGTGTAAGACTACAGAGCGAGTCGCGGTTTGGATTTTATTGATGCTACTGCAGAAACTACACTAAAAAAACCATTTCCTTCTACTCAATAAATTGAGGCAACTTTGTTGCCTTAATTCGATTACGTCATTTCAACTTGTAATAATTTTAACTTATCGCTACTTCAGTTTTAAGAAGAATTAATTAAATTCAATCATTCAGAACCTACTTAATACATTTTAAGACAACCCACTCGCCTTAATTCAAATAAGTAAATTCAGCAAATTATAATTTAAGTAATTGCAACTCACATACAAACGGGGTCTAGTAATGAATACATGTACAAGGATGGAATTATCTGCTACGTCGTTAGATTTACGAAATTGGAGTGTTGCTACATACTTCAGGGTATCCTCAATTATCACAACATAATCTTGGTACACTTTATGACAAAGTTTGAAGTTGAATTTTCATCAATCTCGACAGCACTAGTGAAAGAACGTGTGCACTGTTTGCAATTACTCACTGTTCTCAAGACAAGACGCCGCGCGCATTCACTGAAGTGCTTGATATATAACAGGGATACGATGGCCGCGCAATGCCATTTAAAGATATAGTCCATCATTTGTAATTTGTGCATTTTGTTCGTTTGAAGCAACAAAAGTGCTCAAAATCTAAAGAAGGGTACTGAACAACTAACCTGATGAAGTTTCAGCTCAGCTTCAGCTGTATATTCCGAGAAAAACAGCATTCTAGGATCTCAATTTCAAATCAAAAGTTGCTGAAATCATGTTTTGAATTGGGCCTGAATTCAGCGTCCAAGACACGTTCTCACTGAGCCGATTGCAGCTACGCGATGTCGCGCACTGATCCGACCATAGATATAGAATAAAAAGACTAGATCGGCAGCGCGTGCATACGCGCCATAGAGTGTGCACAAATTTTCCCGTTCCATCATGGACGCTCTACGCGCAGTAGTGGTTTGTGCACAAACTTGCATTTTTATGTCCGTAAAAGTAACATTTTTTACCAGTAGTTATTATGTATGATGTATCCAACAAAATTCAATATGCATTTTCAAGCTGGATATTCACCTCGAAGTTTGCTCCATTTTCCCCTCGTATATATTTTTCGTTTCAAAATGGTGGTGCGCGTTGCTAAAAATCTCCCAAAAAAATGTCAGCTTATCTGATAAAAATGTGTATAACACATTGTTTATGAAAAGGAAAACGTAGAATGTAAAACCTGTTTTAAATTACCGATGAATTATTTAAGAAAATTGTGAAATGTTTCAATGGATGATTTTAGAGATTTGTGTTACAATTATTATCTTTTTGGGATGAGAACAATTTACTTGGATTGCATCTAACTTTTAATGACAATAATATTGCCCCTGAAAACCGTTTTAAGAATGAAATTAAATTACACTCCGTCCCGTAATGTTCCGGACCTCTGAATAACCTAATTAACCCCTCAAGTTTATTTACATTGTGCTCTACTTTTAGTATCCATTTTATATAACATTGTGAGATTCTTGCGCCTTCTTGAAGATTTTCAGATGCTGGATATGCCACTAGAGGTCCAGAGCAAAATAACACAAATTTATTTGTTCTATTTTTTTGAAAATAAGTTAGTGAAGGGCTGGGGAGGGGCGTGCATCTCCGGCCCCCAGTATCCAACAGTACAAAACTGCATCTGATTACGGCGTGAAAAAAAATGTCTGGGTGTTGTCCCGTGAAGCTGCCGTGAATTTAAATTAAAGGACAGCGCAACTACTTCGGAAATAATACGTTCAAAATGATCATTGTTCTGTTTGTTGATGAAGAAAATAACAATCAAACAGCTGGATGCAAGGTTTTTTTAAGCAACGCGCACCAGCATTTTAAAACGGGAAATAAATACGAGCAATAACATGGACCAAACTTCAAAATGAGCATGCAGCTTGATAACCCATTTTGAATTTTGCTGAAGAAATTACTACTACGGGTCAAAAATATTACTTTTGCGGACATAAAAATATGTCTTTCCATACAAACCTATGGAAAAAAGGTGCGCGTAACGCAACTTTTGCCCCACGCGCTAAAAAATGGCGCCGCCCATGGCAGAACGCGCGTCTGTACGCACTGCCGATCTAGTCTTTTTATTCTATATACTATGGATCCGACAAATTATAGCATCCGCGCGTGCGTGTGCGTCGTGCAAATGCTTGCGCGCGCTTCACCGAATAACAAAACGAACTACTAATTTAAATTTCCTACTGTGCGTCTAAAGAAGCACCGTTGGAAAGGCCTTCTTTCGTTGGTTACTTCAAAATGATAGCTTTCCAGAAAGAATAATTTCACATAAAGCAGGGAGTTTAGTCCCCTGTCAACCAAGTATGTTTTTCAACAATAATTACGCCAGTTACTTTTCGGAGAGCTGCAAATGATGAACTTTAGCTTTAATATAATCTCCATAACACTCAGAACTCATCGTACTACTCCTGCTAGTTGGTTGGACGTAAATACAACCCCCCCCCCCCCCCGGAAAAACTATATATTATGTTCGCAGGAAAAGCAATTTAATGTCAAATACACACAACCTAATATTAAAACAATTTTTATTGAAAATTGAATTTATCATTGAAGACTTAAAGACTTTAAGTTATATCCACTCTTTGTGATTTACGTGTTTATTCTCAAACTTGCCAATCAAATCTTACGTATAATTATGGACTCTTTTATCGATATCAGCTTTACTTCGCTTTGTTGTGTTTTTATGACGTACGTACTTCACGTTCAATCTACAAGTTATGGATTTAAGTAGTTAGTACTGAAATGAAATAAGTGCACATGATGAATATGGGTTTTTTTTAGTAATAGTAACCAAATAGTTTATGTATCATTAACTCAATTTTAATGATGTTGTCTTTACTCATTTTCCTCGTGTGGATGAAACTTATGAAAATTAAGTTTAATTCACTTTTAACATTTTATGTTTTTTAAACTCAAATATCAACGTAAAAGGAACTAAAATTGAGTTTTAAGTATTCTTTAATCATTAAATTGGTTAAATATTACTTCAGTCAGGGTTCCTTTTTTTTTAGTGTAGAGTATCTTCCCACAAAAAACGTATTTCTACACAGACCATGTTTACGAGTCCGCGGACAAGCACCGACCCACCAGACGCTAGTTTGGTTTCAACGTCTTGGATCTCACGCGCGCGTACGCACACAATGATAATTCATTTGCAGTCATTTCCTCAGCTGAGTTCGTTATAGGATTAGGTTGACGTTATCACGATTCCCCGAAGTACAGCAGCATAACACGAGACAAAATCATGGCATCTAAAATACCGTATTTCGACACCCTCGCATAAATATTGTCAATTATAGTGCATGTAGGCTAGGAATAGCTTAAGGAGGTAACAT